GCCCTCAGTGCAATATTTTGTGGCCCGCGCTGACCGTTGTACTCTGACAGAATCAGCGGAGCGGGGAGAGAGAGCGCTCCCCGCTCCGCTGATTCTATCCGTACACAGCGCGCTTGTCACTCAATGCGCGTTCTGATAAGCTGTGTTGTCGCGCGCGTACTCAAGAGCGGTGTTGTCGCGCGCCTACTGAAGGGCGGGACCGAGGGTGTGTCGCGTCGCGGGGGCACTTTTGATCATTTTGGAAGGGCACTTTCTATGCAAGACTAAAAAGGGCATGTGCTCTGCACAGGTTGAGCCCTATGTGTGCACGTGCCTGCCCTGCATCTTGTGTTGATATTATAGGTAGATACAGACTGGTACAGACTGATGTGACTGGAGTGGGGTGGGGGTGTTTTATTTATACATATATACGCCTTTTTTTTAGGTGAGGGAATGGAAGTTTTGAGTGAGTTCCCCCACTTTTTTCCCTAGGACTTCAATAAGTCAAAGTACAGGTCTAGACTTAATGATGATCATCTTCAAGCCATACTGAGGGTCTCAACTGCTTCCACTCTAAAGCCAAATGTGGTTCAGATTTGTGAGAAGAAGCGCTGTCAAGTCTCTGGCAGCAAGAAGTAGGCAAAAGATGCCATGTTCAGAAGAACTGTTCATAATCTTCACTCAATGTTCTATTAATGTTCAGGACACTTCATGTTCAAAAGAATTAATTAAAACTGTTAATAATGACATTTGAGGACTTTTTTTTGTGAAATCCCTTATGCGGCCCAGCCTCACCCAGACTTTGCCTCCTGCGGCCCCCAGGTAAATTGAGTTTGAGACCCCTGATCTAAAACAAACTCTATTTTTTCAGCGGATTAATTTTTATTATGTGCTCAGAAAAAGAAGAACAACGTACCACAAGTAAAGTAAACATTGTTAAATTTGTTATCATATAGACTTTAAGTGCTTAAGGGCAGGAATGTATGTGGAGTATTCTGTTCTTTTTTAGGGAAAAGCCAAAAACAGCTGATGGCTCTCTGAGAGGACTGAGTAAAGTCACCAGTACGATGAGTCAGTTAGCTGTGAGTGCTTATGTATATTTCATGGCAGGAGAGCTGGAACAAGCGTCACTGCAGTGTGCCATTGAAGTTTCATTAAAATGTGCTTTTGTACTTTGAGCTTAACCTGACTTTGACTTCATTAAAGGAATAATTCACCTTAAAAACGCTCTTATTTTATGTATTTATCCTTATTCCATAACCACTGTTACTTTTGTGGGACAAATTAGTTTAGGAACTAGATCAGATGTTGTCAGCTGACTGTTGAATACATTTGATTATCATTTGAACTGGGTTTTCAGAGGTTTTCAAACTGATTGAGTCAAATATCAGAGAAAAAAATATTTGTTTTATTTATTTATTTATTTATTTATTTATTTATTTATTTATTATTATTATTATTACTTTTATTTAGTTCTGCTCTAAAGAACTTATAGCCATGCCCTAAAGAACTGATAGCTTTCCCTAAATGACTGATAGCTCTTCCCTAAAGAACTAATAGCTCTCCCCTAAAGGACTGATAGATCTGCCCTGATGCACTGATAGCCCCGCCCTGACGAAATTATAGCCCCACTCTTAATGACTAATAGCTCTGCCCAAAAGGCCTGATAGCTCTGCCCTATTGCACAGATCTCTGCCTTAAAGCACTGGTAGCTCTGATCTAATGGACTAATAGGAAGACTAATAGCTCTGCCCTGAAGGACTAATAGCTCCGCACTAATAGACTGATAGCTCTGCCCTTAATAACTAATAGCTCCATCCTTAAGGACTGATAGCTCCGCCCTAATGGACTGATAGCTCCGCCCAAAAGGACTGATAGCTCCACCCTAAAGGACTGATAGCCCTGCCCTAAAGAACTGATAGCTCCACCCTAAAGGACTAATAGCTCTGCCCTAATGGACTGATAGCTCCGCCCTAAATGACTGATAGCTCCACCCTAAAGAACTGATAGCCCTACTCTAAATGACTGCTAGCTCTGCCCTAAAGAACTGATAGTTCCGCCCAAAAGAACTGATAGTTACAGCCTGCAGGACTGAGAGCCCTGCCCTAAATGACTGATAGCTCCACCCTAAAGGACTGATGGCTCCGCCCTAATGGACTGATAGTCCTGCCCTAAAAGACTTATAGCTCTGCCTTAAAGAACTGATAGTTTTGCAATAAAAAAAACTGATTGCTCCACCCTAAAGAACTAATAGCTCAGCCCTAAAAGATTGCCTGACAGCTCTGCCATAAAGAACTGATAGCTACAATCTGCATGACTAATAGCCCCACCCTAAATGACTAATAGCCCCACACTTAATGACTGATAGCTCTGCCCTAAAGACCTGATAGCTCCGCCCTAATGCACTAATAGCTCCGCCCTAAAAGACTAATAGCTCTGCCCTAAAGGTCTGATAGCCCCACCCTAAAGACATTCCATGTGACCAGAAGTGAAGAAAAGTCATTTTGAGGGGTTAAGGTCAAGGTTATGGTATATGATTAAAGATTATAAAGGTAAATACATTTTTTACAAAATAATGAAGTGCACGGATAAAAAGCACTACTATATATGAAAATAAGATTAGAAAATTTGAATTTCATGTCGACTTAAAATATGCCAATTGCTTAAATCATTTTTGCCCACCTCTGTATATTTAAATAATAATCATTCATCTACAGAAAATGTGTGATCAGAAAAACATCTTTTTATCAGCAAGCCCAGTACCGCTAACGCTATAAGCTATTTCCTTTATTTAGCAGAAAGGCTAGGTCACTCAATGAGCACTTCCAAAAATACTTCAAAGCTACAGGGGGAAAGATGACAGAAATATAACCTGACAAGTGAAGTCTGGGGAAAAATAAAGAAGGAGTAATAAGAGCAGATTGCGCATCTTGTCGGATGAAAACAAACAGCCCGTCTCAGGATTACTAGCATAGACAAAGCTTTCCTCCACTGAACATTTGTGGGGTGTCCAAGAAACTTAAAATCAAATTACAATCCAGATGGCGAGTCTAATGAAGACTTCAGCGGCCGTCAGAAAAGCCCTGCTTCTTGAGGTAAAAGTACAAAATCAAAGCAAAGGCAAAGCAGACAGCTGGAGCGTTATATCAAGTCTAGCACTTCATTAATGAGCGCAGACAAACATGGAGGATATTTCAGGATGTTAGGCACAAACACTAAAGCATTCCTGCTAAATCAGTTCCTCATAATCTACATCAGGGGTCTCCAAATTTGTTTAATTTGCACGCTACTTTTTAAAAAAATTGAAAGAGGCAGAGAGATACTCATGTAATGACCATTTAATCATAAAAAAAAATACAGTTGGCAGCTTTTCTGGATTATTAGCCCCCTGTGTGTGTGTGTGTGTGTGTGTGTGTGTGTGTGTGTGTGTGTGTGTGTGTGTATATATATATATATATATATATATATATATATATATATATATATATATATATATATATATATATATATAAATTATTAAAAATAAATGATAAAAAATATAAACATGTATATATATTTTTTTCTCATATTTTACTAGATGTTTTTTAAGATACTAGTATTTAGCTTAATGTGCAATGTAAAGGATTAAGTAGCTAGGGTAATTAGGCAAGTCAATATGGGGGCTATTAATATTGAACTTAAAATGTTCTTTTAAAAAACCAACTGCTTTTATTTTATTCAAGCCAAAATAAAACAAATAAGACTTTCTCCAAAAGAAAAATATGATAGGAAATACTGTGAAAAATGCCTTGCTCTGTTTAGCATCATTTAGGAAATATTTGAAATAGAGAAAAAAAAATCACAGGAGGGCTATTTATTCTGACTTCAACTGTACGTATGTACATGTGTGCTCAGCATATGTTAGTACACCCCCTACAAATCTATCTTTTGGATTAATATTTTAGTAGGATCCTTTGCAATATTAAATTTGTGCATATACATTGGATTATTCACAGTACTGAAGCCAATTCTGGAGCTAATTTAACAAAAAACTTAGCATAATGGTCCAAAGGTCTGTACACCAAAATGTATGTGTTAGGGAAAAATATTTAGTAAACATTTTAAAAAGAGAAAAAAAAAAAATTCCAACCCAGGCTCATTCTGAAAACGTATCACTATATAAATTTCTGGAGAGTGCAAGATACGTCCCAGGAGCTTTTGTAGTTTTTTTTCGCGAATCTGCCAGAGTCTGCGGTATACCACGCTTTTTGAGATCTTAAATTTCTCTCGCGAGTGCCATTCACACCTGCTCTTCTCACATAAATCCACCAGAGGGCGCTGTCAACTGACTGACTAACTGACTGAGTGACCTACTGACCAATCAACTGACCCACGGTCCTCCTTCTCTAAACCCAACCAATAGTGTTTTCAAAGCACCGATTGACCAGTTCACCCACTTCCCTAAACCCAACCATCAGTTTTAAAAAGCAATTCAGAAAATGAAGGGCCCTCGTTTTCAGATTTTACCACATTCTCACCCTGTTATTTACTTGTTTACTTTTGGATTCTGTTTTTTTCCTACCCACTTTTTGGAACCATTCTTCACCGTTGAGTTGTGTTTATTATTGCATTTATTATATTATACATGGTTTTTTATACTAAAATGTCAATAATTCACCCTATTAAACAGCAGAGATGTATTTTCAACATCAAAAGTCTACAGAGTAGAGATCAAGGTCCCAATATGCAAAATCCATGTCCATAAATTAAGGAAAACACCTTAGAATCACAAAATACGATAAGTGGTAATGAACAGATTTTGTTGATTTTTTACAGCGTGTAGATTTTTTTTTTTAGAGCATTAAACCAATACTGTGTTCAAACATAACCAGTATTGCATTGGTAAAATCATAGACACATACTTGTTGCTATTGAGTGTCAGAACAGGTTTCTACAGAAGATAAATCACGAGTACACTGAATCTCTAATGCTACTAATACTTTTATTTACCTCAGAATGCCATTTAAAAGGTCACACGTTACCTTTTTTCCTCCACCATGGTCCTTCAGGAACGGAATACGAGAGGTCTTTGAATTCGATGTTGACTGCGGGTCTGCGAGGCAGGTATGAGAACCTCTGCGCCTCGGTCAGATTGTTCTCCACTTTTTTCAGGTGTGCATGTAACAGTGGTGTTTGTTGACTGCTGACATGGTTGGACATCATTTCATCAATGGAAACACACACGGTTCTGGGGTCAAGCATGAGATCAGGAGGTCCATTTGTATTCTGGGGAAGGAGAGACAGCACGGTTATGTAATGCGCTGCAGCCTTGAGGGAAAAACCCTGAAGCATTCGCCCTGAGGATTAAAGCTCTGTCGGAAAAATTCACGTGTGCAGAAGTTTGCAGTCATACAGTGTTCGAAGATGGCAAAATAACATATAATAACAGCAAATGATAATAAAAATAACATATAATACGTAGATGTTGTAATAAATGTTATTCAAAATGAATGAGTAAAACATTCAAAGGGTTGTTTCAGTCCATTAGATTGTGTCTTCCTCGATTGTGTTTTAATTTTATTTATTTGATTATTTGTGTAATTATTATTTTATCTATGATTTTACTAATGTGATTTAGTGTAACAATAATTTGCATAAAAAATCTTGTCTGCAATATTTAGAACAGGAATAAATTGATGACATATTAAAAAGATTTTAATTATAATTAATCTTTATACTGCTATACTATCGTATATTATACTGCTACACAATACTATTTAATTGTTTAACTGATGTGAAGTGTTAATTAGTGTTGTAAAATAGGAATCAGTTTTTTATTATTTTTGTCTCTTTTTCTTTTAATCAAACAATTATTTGTATTGGTCATGTAAGGGTCATATATTAACTGAACTTCTAATGTTGTGGGTGAGTTCTGTGCATACTAATTAGCATTTTTGCAGAAGTAGATAGATGCGGGTCCAAAATTAAATTCAGCTCTGCAGAAACTTCCTGTCTGAAGAGAGGTGTTAAAACTGAACACAGAACACAGAAAGATGTATGCTTTGTTGTGCAGAGAATTCGTAGAAAAAGAGGAAGTATGTTGAAGGTGCGGCCAATGGAGGGCTGAACAATGACTGACAAGTGACGTTACACCAAAACTCCACCTGTTAAGATCAGTTGTGTATATATGCTGAAGTCAGGAAATGTATGTTAGTTGCGAACCTCTTGAATGTAATTCTTGTATTGCATTGGGGTAATGTAACCCAGAGCTCTGTCATCGAATTATTCATTTGTATCCAATAAATTGTTACGATTTTTGACATTGAAGAAAAACCTCTCCAGACCTTTTCTCTTGAACACGCATGGAATAGAGATAGATATTCCAACATTAGCAAATAACTTTCTCCAACTGAATGAACACAAGTGTGAATTCATTGTTTTTGGCCAAAAAGGTTCGGATACTAATGGCAATCTGTCATTGCTTCCTATTAAAATACATTCATCTGTAAAACGTCTTGGTGTCATCTTTGACTCTGAGAAAAAATTTGATCTGCAAATTAATGCGGTTGTCAAAAATTGTTTTTTCTATTTTAGATATATTTCCAAGCTGAAGTTTTTCCTCTCACTCAGTGATTTGGAGAAGGTTGTTCATGCTTTCACCTCTTCTCATCTAGACTATTGCAACGCATTGTATCTGGGTTTGAGTCAGGCCTCTCTCTCACAACTGCAGCTGGTCCGGAATGCAGCTGCCAGGCTCTTAACAGGCACAAAAAAACCAACACAATCTCACGGCATTTCGTAACTTTTTGTTTTAGTGGCCAATTCGTATGAATTTGTAAGATCTAATTCGTACAATTTAGTACGATTTGCTTATCCCCCAATGACAGTTGGGTTTAGGGCTGGGGTTAGTTGCCACGCTTTCTTATTAAAAATCGTACAATTTTGTACGACTGAACTTGTACGAATTCATATGAATTAGCCACTAAACTGCCAAAACGTAAAATACCAACATTTTCAGTACAAAGTTCTGTTGTATGTTTTTCAATCTCTCTATAGTCTGGCCCCTGAGTATATTTCTGAGCTAATTACTATGCACCAACCTGTGAGATCTTTTCGCTCTAAGAACTAAGAATCGTCTTTATTTGCAAGTTCCACGATCACGCTTAAAATGTTGAGGTGATAGAGCTTTTTCAGTCACAGCTCCAAGACTTTGGAACGATCTTCCACTCTCTTTAAGAACAGCTCAAACTTTTGAGTCTTTTCAGAGGTCACTGAAAACACACTTATTTTCTTTAGCTTTTAATCATGTGATGTGAGTTTATGTATTTTGTTTTTGTGTATATTTGCATGCGTTTTATGTACAGCACTTTGGTACCCATTGTGGTTTGTTGAAAGCGCTATAGAAATAAAGTGAGTTGAGTTACTATCAAAAAACCTTTAGAATAGTAGTTACAGTGAATGATGATAGGAAGATTTTTGAAACACTGAGGCAGGCACTTTAATTACATTTAGTCTGCTTTTTGTATATAGGCTATAATATTACATTTATTTTTAAATCATTTATTTTACATTGTATTAATATTACATTTACATTACATTAATAAATATATAGTATGTGTGTGAATGGATGTTTCCCTTTACTGGGTTGCAACTGGAAGGACATCCGCTTTGTAAAACATAAGCTGGATAAGTTGGCGGTTCATTCCGCTGTGCTGACCCCTGACGAATAAATAGACTAAGCTGAAGGATAATTAATTAATGAATAAATATATTTTTGGTAAAGTAAAATTACAGGATATAACCATATATGTCTCTGACTTAATATTATGATAAACTTTAGTTAAAACTTTAACTTAAATCCTAAAACAAATTGGTTATATGAAGAAAATATATGTACAGAGAGTAAACTGTATGACATACACTTACAATATATTAAAAAAAGATGTTATTTGAGTTACTTGACAAAGACAAATTTCTACTGTTGCTTTAAACTTAAGTATAAAACATGTTTAAAACTTAAATAAAATTTATTATAAACTATGAAGACATTAAAAGACTATTAATTTAATAACTGTATAATTATTTTAAAGTCTATTTAAGTGTATTGAGAAATATCCTCATGATATTGTATGCTTAATTTGGCTTTATTTTATTACATTTTTAAAGAAAATGATTCTGTTCATCAAGGCAACATTTAATAAATGTAAAAAAAAATGTTAAATAGTTAAATATTTATTCAAAAATAAATAAATAACTGCTGTTTTATTGTATGTAGTTTCAAATGAAATTATTCCCCCACAGTTCAAAGACATGTAGTACAGGTGAATTGGGTATGCTAAAATTGACCGTAGCATATGAGTGTGTCTGTATGGATGTTTCCCAGTGATGGGTTGCGGCTGCAGGGGCATCTGCTGCGTAAAAGGATTGGTTGGCGGTTCAGGCCGTTGTGGCGACCCCAGATAAATAAAGGGACTAAGCCGAAAAGAAAATGAATGAATGAATGAATACTAATAATAACAATAATAATTAATATTAAAGTGATATCTGAAGGATCATGTGACTCTGAAGACTGGAGTAATGAAGCTGAAAATTCATCTTTAAAATCACTGGAACAAGTGATTAAATTAAATTATAAACTACCTTTGGACAGTTATTTTATAGTGCAATAACACTTAAAAACAAAACAACACAATTTTATAATTTGTATTGTATTTTTTATTAAATAAACACAGCCTTGTTGAGCAGGATAAGCTTATTTTAAAACATTAAAAATCCTACTGACCCCAAACTTTTCGGTACATATACATATAATTTATTTACTTATTTTTTATTATTTTGTTTCTAAGTAACCAATAAATATATTTTGGTTAACTATAAAATCATTATATATATGTGTGTGTGTGTGTGTGTGTGTGTGTGTGTGTGTGTGTGTGTGATTATTTCCAATTTACTATTTCTGATAATGTCATTAAGTTTAACTTACATAAATAAAGTAAAATCTGTATAAGACCTAAATAAAAGTAAATAATTTTTTTTTTAAACAATAAAAAAAAAACATGTAAAAATAAAAGTCAACACACTTATCAAATCCACAATGCACCAATTGGCTTAAATTGTTTATAAATCCATAGCATTTAATTATGTCATCATAAAGCATGTTATTAATGTATCGTAACAGGACAACACTCTCAAATTCAGATTAAATTGCCCATCTGGAAATGAAGCAGGAATATATAGTAATGTTATCATATAATAATAAAAGTTCATCAAGGGAAATGCTTGCTAAATATAAAGACGACCTAATCCCTGTCCCTCATCCCGCCACAGCACAGAGAAGAGGTTACTGTCGGACAAAGCTTATTCTAAGCTCAAGGCAAAACAGCAATGCCCAAAATGACAGTTTAATGCAGTAATGCGTTTTTCACATTAAAACCGTATGATGTAATACAGAAGCATATTAAAACTCAAGCCCAGTCACAGAAACTATGGAAATTTAATGATTTATTTCATTTGAGCTGACATTATATATATATTTAACGGTACTGTTTTGCAATATTGTGCATTTGAAGTTCTGCAGTTTATGACTGTATACAATAATAATGTATATGCACCGACTGCGAAGCATTTTAAACGGTAGTCAATGAGGGTTACTCTGGTTCATTTGGATACACGTGTCAGTTTATTTTACGCAGCGTGTTTTTTAAACATAAAATATCTTTAAGAATTGAGTATTTCGTTATTTTAAAGCTGGTATTTTTAAATTTCTTTAAATATTTAGCAATGAACAGTATAGGCAAATAAAACAGTCTTACCATTATGATGGAGTTGGTAACTGTGGTGTTGTTGAATGAAAAGGCTGCCATGAGACATGCCATTCCTATAAAATGTGCTGCGTGTAAATCCGCGTTTGGCCCGAGCGGTCAGATTTCGCATTTGTTTGGTCTCGAGCTGCTCTCCTTCTCCTTCTCCTCCTTCGGCTCTATTATTGTTTACCTGCGCGGCGTGCGCGCGCTGATGGAGGGTGACGTCACTATCCGTGCAGCAGTGGCGTGGAAAGATGCAGAGTGAATCTAATCAAGCTGTTAAAGTCTCGGTCGAAATCTTTTATAACTGCTACCCAAAAAATACCAGACTAGATAATTTTTTTTTGCAAGAATCTACTCATTATTTACACTTACAAAAATAAGAAAGCAGAACTATTTCATTTTGTAATGACTTTAATTTATGTACTGTTGTTGGTTCTTAAATGTCTTACTCTCTAGTTTATATCATGTTCTTTATTCGTTTTTTCCCTTCTCTCTTTCTCTCTTGTATCTTTTTTCATTGACAACATAATTCATTTTCTGTTTTGTAAACAAATATAGCTACAAACTTGTGAACTGTTTGGAAAAAAAAGAAAAGAAAAGAAAGATGCAGGTTTTTTTCCATGGCTGAAGTCAAAACCATTAATAATTTCCCATGTGCTGTTTAATCGTGAAGATTTTGTTCAATACGTTTTTAAAGATAATAGTTTTTGAAACTTTTTATTTTGGCTTAGTCTCTTTATTCATCAGTGATTGCCACAGCAGAATGAACCGCCAACTTATCCAGCATCTGTTTTACACAGCGGATGCTCTTCCAGCTGCAACCCAGCACTGGGAAACACCCATACACACTCACATGCACACATATACGGTCAACTTAGTTCATCCAATTCACCTATGTGGGGGAAACTGGAGGAAACATATGCCGACACGGGGAGAACAAGCAAACTGAAATGCCAACTAGCCCAGACGGGACTCGAACCAGCGACCTTCGTGCTGTGAGGCGACAGTGCTAACCACTGAGCCACCTTTTAAAGTTTAAAGGCTTAAATTGGTTAATTAGTAGGAAAGTGAGGTTTATTATGCAAGTTATTGGACAATTTGTTCTTTCTTCAGTTGTACGCTTGCAGCTGTTTCAAAATGCAGCTGCTATAACAGGGACAAAAAAATCTAGTATCTCACCAGTTTAATCATCCCTTCACTGGCTCCCAGTCCAATTTAGGATTCAACACAAGTTATTTGTTTTTAAAGGTTTGAATGGTCACATCGGTGAGCTTCTCCAATGGCATACTTCCTTGAGGTAAATGTCAATCAGGTCGGAAAACCAGTTTCAACTAGTTGTTCCCAAATCACAGTTAAAATCAAGAGGTGACAGGGCTTTTTCTGTCACAACTCCCCGTCTGTGGAATGGTCTACCTTAAAAAAATCTATTAATTAATTTTAATCTGTCTTATATTTTGTGTGTGTGTGTGTGTGTGTACACACACACACACATATATATATATATATATATATATATATATATATATATATATATATATATATATATATATATATATATATGCTGGTCATTTTGTAAAGCACTTTGCTCGACATTGTTTTTAAATGTGCTCTATAAATAAAGCAAACAAACAAACTTGTCAGGATTTTGTTTTGATGTGAATTTAATTGCCATATTTAAATCATTTAGATCAGGCAGGAATAAAAATTAAAAGTTAATTATTAGTACTTTAAAACATCAAGCAATAAAACGATTCTGACCTTTGGACTGATCTGCTTTTAATAGCTTAGTACTACTGCCATCTAGTGGCACCGTTTATGAAAATTTTGCTTGGTTTATTTTTACAAAAAGACTGGTAGAAGGAAAATTCGAATAATTATTATAATTAAATAACTATATTTATTTAAATTATTTATATAAATATTATTATTTATTAATTGACTAATTATAATTAGTCTGTGTAATTAAGAAAATCGTTTTTTTTTTCGTAGAAACATGTTGAGCTTAAAGAGAATGGGAATGTGTCATATTCACATTGCTCTGTTAATTTATTGTATAATACAATATACAACAATAAACTGCAAGCCCTCGCATTACAAATAAAGAAGTAAGTGCTATTTGGAAAGGTTTTCATGCAATAGCTCGTTGATGCCCTGTCGGTTGTGTATAAACTCATTCATTTAAATGATGCGGTCCGGTCCCGCCCTCTCTGTGTCTGTGCTCGGCGTCTCGAGCAAACCGCTGGAAACAATATAAAAGCCTTTATAAACATAGATACAACATAGTCGACTTTATTTTGAGTGTTTGTGATATGTTTTTCAAAAGATACTATTATAAAACGGCCGTTTTGTTTTTCTTGTGTCCACAAAATGGCCGCCCGAAACTCGCCGTGACGTAAATTTCTGACCTCATCAGTGCGTTCTTTTAGAATCCGTGGATGTTCGATGCACGTCAGAAATGGAATTGACAGAAACACTCGCGCTCGCTCCCTGCAGTTCACTCAACAATTTCACACTTAACTTCGATGAGTTTAAGGCATTGCTATCCCTAAAATAATTTAAGAAAACATAGTACATTCTCAGCTCGATTGTAGTTTCCCCCCTCTAGCGTCTGCGGTGTTTATTACTTTTTTGTAACCATCGTTGTGGACATCAAGTGTTACAACTGAACCGTGTTACAACTCTCCCCCGGCCTCGCCTACACAACATATCTGTGATTTTGGATTTTGGCAGACTGGTGCAAAAACATTGACAGGTAAGTGAGAATCAGGTGTTTCTGTTGCAGGAAATGAGACACAGCAAGGGGATCGGAGACAGTGATGGGCAAAAATACATGTATTTAAAATAAAATACCAAATACTGACATTTTAAGTGTATCAAAATAAACTACAAAATATATCACCCACAAATGTATCCAAATAAAATGTATTTTGCGTTTTAGATTACTACAAAATACGTTTACAGGGGAGCATGACATTTTATTCACAAATAACCTTCACCATTAAACTGACTAAGTAAATGATTGAAAACAACAGCGTTTCTCTGAGCAAGTTTAAGTCAGCTTTTCTCCCAACTCATTCACCTCTGTACATAAAATGTAACTTGTAATTCATAAAATGTAACTTGTGTAAGTTTTATTCATAAAACTTGTTTCTCTTTAGTAGTTTTTGTACAAATTTCATAGAGAATGTCCTGTCTTGAAGATGATCTCTTTAATCCCTGTAAAAATAATTTAAAGGTGCAGTAGGTGATTGTCTTCATAAACGTTTTTGTTGTGTTGGTTTAAAGTCTCTTCACATTCCAATAGTAATGATTAAAGTAAATGATCTAAATATGTTTATGTGTGTTTTTATATTCGGGGTAAGGCATAAAACAAAAAAATGTTTATCCAATTAAATATTGTTGGGCCAACAACTCCCATAACTCCGATAAGCAGCTCAATCTGTCTGTCAGCAAATGTAGATTGGGACTTCTGCACATCTCTTCACACAGATCCGCCATTTGCGCGACCCCGCCTACATGAGCGCAGCACGTTCATGAGAAAATCACAGTCGCTGCAAAATGAAATACTGAATTTCATCTTTTGAACATCCTGAATCAGTATTGGAGTTAATTTTGCACGTTGGAGGAAGGAGGACACCATAGCTGAAGTGTTAGACGGGTGATGTTCTGTTTTAAAACTATTTTAGTCAAGCTAAGCAGATGTTAGATTGTGTTGTGTTATAATGGGTTATATGCACTGATGTGTTGTTCAGCCACTGAAATCTCCCAGCGAATGATTGATGTGACTATTTTCAGTTTCATAAGGGACCTTTGACAGCATCGATAATGTAGATTTTTGTTTAGTTTTACAACATAACATCAGTCAATAGCGCTATTCTGCCTAGCCTAATTTACTGAGCTAAAGTTGTTTTTATATTCACATTGGTATTTTTTTTCAACTATGACAGCCTCCCTGTACTGTTTATCATGCTACTCTGAATATTCGATCTGAAATAGCATGTAAGTATAGCTTAGTAATAAATGTAATTCCTGCACGCCACCGGCCAAACACTAACTAGCGAATGACATGAACTAGTGGGGTGTCTGCTGTTGTCAGGCGGTGTGCGTGTTCACAATTTCAGGAGGCGTGGCTTTGAATCACAATCCCTCCCCGCCGTCAAAAGATAATATGCTAAGCGGTTAGCATTTTGGCAGATCACCTACTGCACTATTAATGCAGATAATGGGTTGAAATATAGTATTATATTATGACTGTGAAAACTGCCACCGTCCCTTAAAAGTCTTATATTTCACCATTTTTGCTATTGCAATCTTTAATAGTCAAACAGCCAATGAAGTATTGCAGATATGCTGATCTTTTCCTGTCTTCTTTTCCTGTCTGATTTTGACCTGCTCCCAAATTTACCCCTGCTATTATCATTACAAAGTATTTTACAGTATTTAAAAAATACAAGACACTAAAGTATTTTGATAGAAAATATTAAGCTATTTTCATTAACCCCATCAAATACAAATTACAAAATATTATTATGTTTTTAAAATATGTATTTGTAATACATGTATCATTAATACTGCCCATCCCTGGCTGGAGATAAACTTGAAGAACTGGAGAACAGCTTGTGAATCACTGATCAACAATCAGGTAAAGAACTGTTCCCATTGTCATTTACAAAAGATATGTAGATACATAGAAAAATAAATGTTTTTCCAGGAGAAAGGGGTGGTGGTGGTGGGAAAAAGGAGAGAGAATTTAGATTGTATTGCCATTTCAGATTCTTTGGCTTTCATGGCAAAAAAATTCATTTTATAAATACCACTTTTCTACAGTTATGGAAATATTCTAACAATTACAAGTCACCAACAGCAATAAATATTAAACAAGGTAAAATAAATAAATAATAATAATAATATATTAAATAAAAATCTAAAACTGTGTTTTAAGGTTTACTCTTGATCAAAATTGTACAATTTCAGAAGGATTCACATTTAAAAATATTTCATCTAAAATCTCTCCAGATAAAAATTGTTGTCTGATAACATTAAAAACAAGGCATTCAATAAAGGAAGAAAAAAAAGTCCTTCCAAGAGGAAGGGGTGGTGGGTTGTTGCTAGATCGGATACGTTTGTGGCCGGAAGTTAACAATAATAATTTGTATTATTTATAAAATTTCCGATTTATTGT